CCAGAGTTTAGGTCATGACCTATCTTGTCCCAGGACCCCACCCCTTGGACTGCACCAGTCCAAGCTGGGAATGCAGAGTTGAGGCACAGCTACAGAATGTCTGTTGGGTCCTACCCACTTCTGGCTGGGTTAAACTCACCTCAGTGATGTGGTAGGTATGGTCAAAGCCTTCTCAGACTCTAATAAATTAGTTCCAAATACTTAGAAAAAATGGGGTTGGGACAAGAGAACAGACAGGTCTTCAATTTGACAGAAGCATTTTTTTAAAAATAGAGAAAAGGAAAGGTTAAGACTTGTGAGTATTTACTTACGACTGGGGAACTCCTCCAATCCCAAAGCCCACCAGGCCCCTCAGCACCAAGATCCAGCTGTAGACTGGGGCAAAACCACTGAGGATCCCATAGTAGAGTGTCCATAACACGCTGATCTTTAGGCCCTGTGTTTAACAAACAAGTGTGAGGCAAAGGGCACCTCTGCTGCAACACAAATTGACAACATGGAAAGCAGAGCCTCAATATCCTTTTATTCCAAAGGAGGTGAATTCTGGCTCTGCTTTATTCTGCTTCATACATGTGGACTCTGACATGTGTGAACATCACGCACTGAAACATACACACTATGGAAATATTACAATATATTCCAGCAGAAGCTGCAGACTTACTGTTTTTCTCCCATACTGGTCTGAAATGTTTCCCCAGAGAGTGGAGCTGGACATCATTCCCACAAACACCACCTGTGAAACACCAGAAAAAAAAGATCCTCCCCTTAACAAGAAGTGAACATTTCCCTATGACAAACAAAGAGAACACAAATTCACAGTGAAACTAGAAAAACTTTTGGCTCTAACTTTGGGTTATAAAGCATAATGTCTGCAGAACAAGGAGTGGGAAACCCTCACAGAACACAGGAGCTGTCAGTGATTTTTCCTACCGAGGTGAGCAATGCAACCTGCCAGCTTGGTAATCGCCACTCACAATGAAGCTGAGGAGCTAGGATACTTAAAATCATCATTTCCATAGCATCTGCCATCTAGAAAGGTAGAAAAGAAACAACAGTAAATACCTGCCTGAAAATCAGACTGACACAAGAGTCAATAAAACACCTCCTTGAAATTCACCTTGGCTTTGCTGGTGCTTCCCACTCTGTAGGGGAAACAAACCAGTTCTGTTTCAAGGCCCAGGGATGTACAGAGTGTAGAGAAAAACCAGCAGGTGCCCTGTTAAACTGACTTCTGATTGTCACAACGTTTATTAATGCAGGCAGAGAGGATTCAAAGAGCCAGAACAAAAGTTATGGGTGGGTGATTTCAAGGAGGCTCATCTGGTCAGTCACCCAGGCTCATTCATTTCCATATCCCATGTGACAGGGATGAGCTTTCAACTCCTTCACACAAAGATCCAGTCAGAACTGTTCTCTGCCTTGTAACTTACTCCCTTTCTCCCTCATGCACTTGTGGATTTGTATCAAATCTATTGGGACATCACCTGTAGGCCAAACTTCACTGCTGATTTAAGATCTAAACCAAGGCAGACTGTAGATAACAGCTGCTAAACACAGGCTCCAGGTACTCTAAAATATCCCACAGTTGATGGAACATAGAACCAGCAGAAAAGCCAAAACAAAGCCTGTCTTTCTGCTCTTGATATCAAGGTTAAAACTAGAAGTTATAACTGGGTTGCTGTTCACCTGAAATGGTGACGACAGTGATGCCAACCAATACAGAAAACAGGGAGTGCAGCCCATGGGCTGAATGTGGCAAAATCACTGCATGAAAACTGAAATCTGCTTCTGTGGGAACAGCCCAGTGCCCTTTCCATTTGAAACAAGCATTTGAAGTGGAGAATCAAAATGGGTTTTCAAACCCTGGTTTATAAGAACCTCAGGTGATTCTTGCCTCCACACAACAAGTTTGTGTCCAGCTGCCAGTTCAGAATTTCAAGTGAAATTCCTTCTTTATTGCACAATTATCTGTTTGGAGACTTTTTGTTGACAGGGAATGCCTACACTATTTGAAAGCACTGAGACTCTGTAACTGATGATCATGCAATTGACCTGGATAACAATTACTTGCCCATGCTAATCCAGTAATAACTGAGAGCTTCCACTGGAACTTGCCAAAGCCAATGGCTTCCACCGCATCTTCCACCAGGAAAGTATCTGGAAAGAGAACAGTTCTAGAGCAGAAGTGTATCCCTTCCCTTCTAAGAGCCATCCTTTTATTCAGCATTTTCTTGACTGCAGTTACTGATTAACTGGGTAATCTGCTGAGATCTAAAACTTCTTACAGAGACCTACTTAACTTTTATACAGTTCCCACTCTGCAGTGTCTCTGTGTTCTTCAGGAATAAGAATTCTAAATATTCCTAGAATATTTTAATCACAGAGAAGTAAATCAGCACAGCCCAATGACTCCAGCACATGTTCAGCCTCCTCCTCCTGGGAGTGACCCCCCCAGCCACTGAATTGCAGCTGCCTCTGGTGGGAAGTGCATGAGCTGCTCAACAGCACACAGCAATACTGTGCAAGAGATGGAAAGGGCAGAAGAGCATTTTATTGCTTGGAGAGTCAAATTGTAATTATTTTAATCAAGAACTTGTCCAAGTCACATACATCTTAAAACATGCTTGTGTTGAAAAGTATGACTTCTCTTGTTTCTTGTGTGGATACACAGCTCTTAGAAAGGGCCTGTATTACTGGTAATAAAAAAACAAGCACATAAAGCAGCCCTGAGAGAACAAGGCTGTTAAATTGTGATTTTCAGGTGTAACATAATTTCCCTGTGTTGTTGTTTCCTCCTTTTATCTGAGGATCTTTAACTCCTCCAACATACCCAGCCTGCTTGCAACATGACTGAGATGAAGAGGCCACCCCGTTCTCCTCACAGGAAAAGAAACCTACTCACCATCAGTTGGGTTGGCAAATTCTTTAGGCACTGCAGCTCCATCCTCTAGCTCAACAGGCTCTAGCTCTGTCCGAACACCCTCAATCTGGATTTCATGCTCTCCTGAAATGACATCCTCATCTGACCTTGAACTTTCCCCCGTGCGGCGAAACTTGACCACCCTAAGGACACAGGGACAAGGATTAATGCTCTGGAGGGTCTTTCCCAGGTCAAAGCTCTGATAGTTCAGTGAACTGACTGATGTTTTTTTCCATTATGGTGATGACTCTGTGACTATAAATAGGATTTTTCCATCTCTTGTCTTAAATCAAAAACCTTAATATTATGTTCTTAATTACATACCTGGATTTTAAGAGTCTTTTATTTCCAATACTTGGTTTATCTGTGCTTTTTTTTTGCATCTCTTAGGCAAGGAGATGGGACAGAATAGGACAGTGAACCAGAGGATCCTTCTTTTTCCATTAAGTCCAAGTCAGGACTAGGAGTGTACCTGCCTGGCACACGAGGTGGTGGTTGTCACATGAGCATCATGCTCACAACTCTGCACATGATCTCATTTCCAGCACTAGCTGAGAGATAATGGTCCAATCTCTGCAGCAAAGCCACTGAGAGAACAACAGGTGAAAACACAACTCTGCTAGACTGACACAACTTCCACGCTGTGGTTGGAGTGGTGCTGTGCTACAGGCCATGCACACAGGAGATCCATGTCCCATTTCCAGCTTCCTGTGACCAAAGAAAGACTTGGAAACAGCCCTACCACGTTTTAGGTGAGATTCCTCACTTTCCCTGCACCACCAGGGAGTTATTTTCATCTTGGCAACTGACAATTCCTTAGATTTCAGTTAAATAGTGTTTTTTGGAAATTGATTACATTAGTTGTGCTACTTTCTCTCCTGACTTCCAATCCCTGAACATCTTTGTTCTACACTGGATTACCAGGGCCTCTTGAGCTTCAGTTTAATCCTTTGGTTTAAGGGTTAGCAAAACTAAACCAGCAGTGTCCTTGCCCAGTGCAGCAGCAGCCTGACACGTGCATGTCATTTCCAAAGGTGATCTGAAAGACTTCTCATATTTGGCAAGACCTCAACTCTTCCTTCCTCTTACAAGTGACATAATAAACACTTGCCATAAGGGCAAAGTGATGGGCAACCTTCACAGCTCCGATTTTGGTCCAGTGGTGGACAAGAGGACAGAGAAATGAACATCTGAGTCAAGCTCTGCAGGCTGTTAAGATGTTTAGGGCTGATTTTTTCAGGCAAACAGGTTATTCCAGGATCTGTATGGGGCAAATATTCCTTGTGCTACTTCAGTAATGTTCTTATCTGCAGCAGGAACCTGGAAGCTTTTCTCTGGCCTTTATGTATTGGCAGAAAAACAACAGTCACCAATTTTGTTTGCTGAGGTGAAATGTGAAGATCTTAACATAAGAACACAGAACAAAAGCCCAGGCTTCTTTGAAATGAGCAAGAAAACTACACTGACTGCTGTGAAACTTGAGTTTATCTCAGTCTTGATTTGGGCTATGCAGTTATAAGAGAAGACAAGGAAAACAATGAAACCTGTCTGAATCCAGGTTCATCTTTAGTCCCCGTGAGAAACTCAATTTTAAATTTCCTTCCTTTGATTGCTTTTTTAACCTCAGTGCCACTGTCTTGGTTTTAATTTTCTTTTGCTGACCCTGTAGGGCAAACACAAGTAATTATTACTCGTGTTAAAATTGTCACTGAAGATCCAATCCTCATATAACCTATAAAATACAAGCTCTTTGCAAAAAAACACTGACATTTGTATGGCCAGGTGATGACCCTTTTTTATTACGAAGGGCAATTAATATCAAAGTACCATTCAGATCTTAATTGTAAAAGCTTTACAAGCACTTGGCTTGACTACACAGGAAGGAAACTTCTATATTTGCATCTTTTTTAAAGGAAGATTATTAGGATAAATCCAGCAGCCTCAATGCAGAGTGCAAAGTTCATTAAAACATATGGACACTTTGGCCCCAGAATTCAAGAAGTCTAAAGTGCCAATATCCATGGGATTGTGATTGAAAATCCTTCATATGACCTATGCTGGTTCAGTGTCCTACTAAGCCATGGGCAAAACAAATATGCCAATAAAAACCTCTGGATTTGAGAGTATGTGATCACAAACCCCCTTTACAACTGCTTCTTAGTTTGTAGTGTTTGTTGGAGAAGACTTTCAGAACTGACCATTTTGGAGATGATGGTTCCAGGTGCTGACTGAGAGGCAGTGACTGATCTGAGAACTGTGAATACCTTAATGGCAACCTGAGCAGAGACCTATCTGGCCACATTCCTCATCACAGGATATAAAAAATGTGCTTATCACTTAGGAACCTATGAAACAAATGAAAGAAACCCCAGACTGTTCCATAATTGCAAAACTCTTGGGAGCTGAGGCATCTGAGAGAGCTGCACTTGTTTCCAAGATCTCACAGCACCAAGCAAGTCTCATTACACCTATATTGAAAGATACTTTGGAACATTTTTCTGTGCTTTGTTTTCTTCTTAAAAATAATTTTAAAAAATAGGAAAAATGGCCTAATGAAGTAATGTCTTACCCTTCCTACCCAAAAGTTGAACACCTCTGAACTAGGTTTTAAAATAACTGGAGTTTGTGCCAAACTTATTAGAAATGTAGTGGGACAGTTTGCTCTGCCATTGACATGAGCTCATTAATATTGAAAATAAACTCCAAGCATTTATTCCCTGCCTCAAAGAGTCCAGGATTTATATCCAGGAACATGTTTCAAAGCACCTGACAATGGAGCTTTGGGAGGAAAGCACTTGTTTTTAAAGACAGCATTTTGCATGCAGGAAAAGGAAGGGAAGCAGTGGTGCTAAAAGGCATCACCTTCTTGCAGAGAAGCAACCACATCCCAACAGCAGGGACCTCCTCACAACTACCAGCCCTTTCCCCGGGCAGCCAGGGCTCTGCTCCTCCAGCAGGCAGAGTGAGGAGAGACCAGGGGCTCTCCCTGCCCGCACAGCCTTGCAGGGGAGATTCTGATCTGCAATGGGTTGGTGGCAGGAAGGAGGCAGCCGAGGCAGCTGCTTTCCCTGCCACAACCTTCCTGGCAGATGCAACCCACCTTGCAAAGGCAACAGGAATGTTTCCTCTCAAAAAAAAACCCCTAATAATAATAATAATAATAATAATGATCACAACATCTTTCAGCACTTCCAGGGCTTCATCCCACCCCTCCCTGTTCCTGCCACCGTTCAGCTCATGAACAAAATAAATAAAAAATTAAAAATTGAGTGGATTTACATAACAAATGGATCCCTGGATGCTCCAGGAGGCTGAACCCGGGCAGCTATGCCAGGCAAACGGGCTGCTTCCCGGGCCTAGGGCATCCCTAGGAATAATTCCCTGAAAAAATCCCTGGGATTCAGAACATGCCTTTGCAGAAGGAACCCCGAGCATCCCGGCCCCCCTGCCAGGGCTACTCACGG